TACTGCTAAAATTATCTTGAAAGGCTGTTTTAAACCTTAATCAATTAGTCATGGGGGTGTTTACTGTTATGCTAAAAAGATCAATTAAGAGGGTTGGCTAAGGATTTAAGCGGAATCCTTAGCCAGGCACTGCTGGAATGTAGGAGGCTTATGTGAGTCTCCTATCATGCATGGATTCAGTGCGTGGGATCTTTTAATGCTCTCTCTTAACGCTGCGTGTTTCCTGTTGGAAATGGGAAGGAGTCTGCGTGGGGGATGCACATGAGGAGAGTGTTAAACACACCACTTACCGACTGGGGACGTGGCAGAAGGGTGGATCTGGGCAGGATGCTGAGAGAGAAGTCTGCCAGGAGTATCACCTTGAGAAATGACTCATTGGTTTCGTGAATTGCTTCATGTAAATTGTGCCAGATAGACATTGCTTGTGTGTTATGAGATAGGCTTCCCTGCCGGGTCGCCAGGAGAGGCCCAGCTGGCCTGGCACCGAGCCAGCCTACAAAGGGCGTGGGCGGCCATTCGAATTCCGTTTTGCTTGCAGGAGATAAGACCAAGTAAACTAGAGATTAAGGAATTGAGGGAAATGGTAGAGAAGACAATCAAGAACCTCTCTGAGGTGCAGCCAGTATAAAAGTACAAAAGAGCTGAATTCGTGAGTTTCTTTTGGCAATAACAAGCCATTAGCAAGGGTAAATGGGGCTCCATTTTTCATCATTCAGACTCTACTTTCAGTACTTGGAATTTTTAAAGCTGGATGACAGCGTACAGGCGGAAGGTAGTAATAATGCAATTTAAAAATAATTAAAAATATTTTTCTTGCTTTTGAAAAGCAGTATTTACACTCAGATATATTAATGAAAATAGCAGTTAGGCTTTGTGCAAACAGCTAAAAATCAACTGTTACTTATCCTGGGGTAAACTCCCCGTGGCACATTGCATTCAAAACCACTTTCAAGTTATTCAGCAGGTACATAATGTGTCCCTGTGTGTGCATTCATGTGTTACAAGTTATAAAGAATAAGACACAGTTCTTTCCTCTCTCTTCCTCATAGCAAATTTAGTTTTGGAAATAAGACAAATAATTTAAAAATGGCATTTGATAAATAGCATGAGTAAACGAGATAGAATAAAGGAAAGAAATCCATTTATTCTAAAGGACTGTCTTTGTCATTAAGATGCTATTGACAATGGGTAATCACCAAAGGAAGCTTAGGAAAGGAAGGGATTTGATCTAAGTTATGTGTCATGAATATTAATCTGTAGGATGTATTAGAAGAGGGGGCGATAGGAAGGAGACAGACCAATTAAAAGACTACCTACCATTCCTCTGATCCAAAAAGTCGAATGGTTTCCCATTGCTTCCTGAATTATGCATGGCTTGGTGTTAAAGCCCTCCCAACATGATCATAATGTAGTCTGGTGTCCCGCGCCCCCCCGCCGGCCCTCGTCCCGCCC